TTTTTGTCTTTGTTTTGTTTTGTATATATATATATATATATATATATATATATATCATTTGTATATATATATATATATATCATTCAATTAATTCTGTATATATGTATTATATATAGGCCTAATTTTATAGAGAGTAATTTTGATCTACCAGTATTTTAATGATGGAACTGGTAGTTCGAAACAGATTGTTTACCGCCTCCCGGTGCTACAATGTGACTTGCAACAATAGAAATCCTGATCATTTCACTTGTAAATATTTGCTTAATTCTGAAAATGTTGTATTTTTAAAATGTTTATAAATTTTTAAAAAGAATCCAGCCCCCATAACCCCACCTCGTCCCCTTTTCATCCACACCCCGACAAAACACTCTCTCCAACAAGGCTTGACAAATAAAACTATGTCTACTAAATTCATCAGAACAACGGGGATGCCATAATAAGTATGTAGACGCTTCAGCTTTATAAAGGTATAACCAATTTGCCCCTGGGTATCACTAATTAAACCCCTTGGGTATCGACTTAAAAATAGAAGATCTCTGTTCACCAACCTATTTACAGCAAACCGTAGAAAATGTCATCGCAATAGCTCAATGGGAACAGTGTGGCTGCTAAGGAGTTTCTTTGATTTTTCTTCAATTTCTTCAGTACTTTTAAAGCCCTTTGCTCAGAACTTTATAGGCCAGTTTATAGAGAATAATTTTAATTTAAAATAGCTTAATTACATAATTGTCCGATTAAGGTAATGGAGCCCTCAATATAAAGTTAATGATGTGCTCTATTTATTTACATTAGAAACCCATTTTGATAATAATAATAATAATAATAATAATAATAATAATACTGTAATAATACTGTAATAATAATATAATAATATTAGTGTAGTTTTATTTAGCGCACATAATGCAATACAGACCTGCTAACCCGTACGCGTTCGCTGTATACGCATTCCAATACAATTTACGGTCTTACGCAAACCGACACCGACAAAACTTACGCTTTTCCTAAACATTGAGTAATTTTTTTTTTTCAATTTGTAATGAATGTTGCTATAACTAACATCCATAGTCATAACATATAACATTCTGCCTCCATGTTTCAATTACTATTGTATCTGAGGTCATTAAAAACTCACTAATATCGATTAGATATGCCATTTAAGCCAAAGCGACCCCGACCAGGGGCCCTTGGCGACCTCCACCCCCCCAGGCACTGTTCGAGGCTTCGGCACTCATCATCTGTCACCCGACATCACTCTTTAAATTTCTCAAGGTTGACAGGTATGGTAATATATTATTATTATATTCCAACAATATTGGGTAGTTGGATACGTAGTATTTCCTCCATGGATCGATAGGCCTGAAGAACGCACTTTCGTACAAAAATGATTACGACATTGAACCAACAGTGTTTGTCAAATTTATTTAATTGAAGGCTAGTTGAGCTAAGCCGGCGCCTAATTTGTGTGATCTGCCAACCTCTGCCTTGGTTAACATGCCTTTTGTAAGCCAGGACCTATAGTATTTTGTTACGTTTCTTCACATCCGAACCCCTTGAACCCCCTTGGATCCGCCACCGATTATATTTAGAAAACAGTCCAATATTTTCATAAACAGGGCAAATAGAAATTATGGGCAAGGAGAATTAATTAATGTCTACATAAAACTCAGCAATTTCCTCTTTTTATAAATCAGAGTTTATCAAAACGTTTCTCTAATAGCCCAATTCCCTAATGTATCAAACTTATTAACCAACAGCAAGCTTGAACCAGTAAGATGCCCATTCTGTTTTTATTATTCAGTTGCTCAAATCAAATCAAATTATTGTCAACTTATTGTTAAATTATTGTTACATTTTTGATAAATTTTTGTTAAATTATTGTATTTTTATATTATCATTATGAATTTTAAATATTTAAAAATTATAATAATTATTGTAATTATCTCTTTTGTAAATAACATGCAAATTATATATAAATTATATATATAAGTAATAAAGAATTGATGATGATGATGATGATGATGATGATGATGATGATGATGATGATGATGTTATAACCAACTGTACTTAAATTGCAGGGTTCGTGATGTCATTGCAAGGTTCTTGATGCCATTCATTCATATGATTTCGAATATTTTGATGAAGAGTTTTTTTTTCTAATAGTGACTTAAGCTAGATAAAGAAAGTACTGTTATAAGCAAATATAATCCTCCTCTTCCGCCTCCTCCTCCAGAAGGCGTCTAGACAACGGATGGTCCCGGTTCGAATCCCGGTTGAGAATTTTGTTTTCGTACTCGCAGATTCCTCTTCTTCACCATATAAAATTGTATATATATATACAATTGTGCAAATCGCTTATTATGTTATATACATAGGTCCTATATAATTAAAACAATTGTGGAATAGAAAATAAATAGCAGAAATATAAGGTATATGTATGAGTTTAAATAATATAACGCATAATATATACATATAAATATATACATATACATGTTATGTATGTATGTATATATGGCAGAGGCCTGTGTGTTTGTATTGCAATCTTTTGCAGTATATAAGACACTCATTGGCTAAAAAAAGAACCCGAATAATTTTTTTTTATGGAAATCCATTAAATACAATATTTTTTTTTGGAAATGGAATTCTAATATATGAAATGAAATATATTTTTGTAGTAAGTATAGTACAAGACAACATTAAGGGACACCAAAGCAGTTTATCGATTGATACTGTTAATAATTTAATTTGAAGTTTTTAAAATAAATCGAATTCCATCAGTCGTATAGACAAAAAAACCTTTCGACGAAGGCCATGGGCGTTTTTACTAAATCATACAAACTGATTATATAAAAAAATAGTAATAATATTTTATAATAAATATAAAAATACGTAAGCCTAAGACATATTCAATTTCCTACAATATGCAAATTCTGTATTTTAATTGAATAATTTAACTCGCTTTTTCATTATGTTTAATAGTACAATTTTAGAGTTCGGGTAAGATTAACTTAGGACTAAATCACAGAAAAATATTAAATTATTATACACAGGCTTTAGGCATCTTTATTTCTTTCGACTTCATTAGAGTGTTGTATCTAGCTTACAGGTATAATTGCTGCCGCATGCTAATCGAAATCATTAGGAAGCGTATAAACGGACTGTTCTACATCAGATTCCAGAAAATAAATATACCAAATCCAAATGAACATTAAAATGAAATAGGCAGTGAAAAGGACAATAGACACGATGCCATACACCAAACCACGAATCGACCATTGTTTTGCTTTGCTAGCGGCAGACACGGCTCCGGTATAATCTCCACGGTCAAACCTATTTGAACTCTAAAAAAAATATTGAAAATATGTGTCTAATAAATATCAATTAATAAATACGGTAGTGCTTATAATTGTAATCAATCTAATCTTGAATTTTAAAATATTTTTGTATTAAATGTATTTCGTATAGTTTTGTAGTGATGTATTAATAGCGCTCAATAAAAAATAAATAAAAATTAAATAGTGTATTTCTAGAACTAGTGTTTTGTGCGTTGGCTCATTAAGGACAGACCATAAGAGCGTTGACAAAATAATGGTACAAACTAAAACCATCACATACAAACCACACGTTGTGACATTTTGTTAGTTTCTGAGAAAATTGAAATATTTTTCGTGGGTTGGTCTAATACCTAGATATTCTGTACACTATTTGTGGGATAATGTTTAACTGGTTTAACTTACATCAATACTATAAACAAGTCCGATGATTCCACAAGGCAAACAGCAGCAGAGTGTCACATAGATAGCCATTCCCAGGAAGTTCCTTGGCTTTATTCTCACTACAGTCACATCTGTAACAGGGAGAATTTCGTAGGCATACACTCCATTGTCGGCAAGAAGTCGTGTCTAATACAAATACAATGTGTATTTTGTTATGTGGTATTTATATATACTTATTTTTCATTTTGTTCACTTCTTCATTCATTCATCCAACCATCGTTTAATTTCCATGCATTATTATTATTATTATTATTATTATTATTATTATTATTATTATTATTATTATTATTATTATTATTACTATTATTATCTAGTCTTAATATCTATATAATGTCTACAATGAACTATGGTTATTTTATTTTATTTATTTATTTTTATTTTTATTTTTTGAAATTTTGTTGTTTTATATGAGACAGTATGTACGTGTACCCCATTGTACAGTATTTATATAAACGTATTTTTCATTTTATTCACTCCTTCATTCATTCATCCATTGGTTTATTTCCATGCATTCATTGTCTCATCCATCGATCCATCCATCCAATAATATTCATTCTCTTCTTTTTATCATCATTATTATCAGAATCACTATTCTCATCTATTCTTAATATTTATATATGTCTACAACAACTATGGTTATTTTTTTGTAATGTTGTTATATATATATATATATATATATATATATACATATAAGCCTATTATATAT